ATCTGAAACACATCTGTTGTCTATAGATACTTCTGCAAAATTTCTTTGCGTACTTACTTTGACAGTTTCTTTGTTATCTAGGTTGATTACTAAAATGACCACACTTATGATTTAACAAAAATGTACCAAAAACACAAATTTCTCTCTCCGACAGACTCAGATATTTTAAGAAATTGGCACTTTTGCCTTGTTAAACCGGATACTATTTGGATTTTTCAGGGTACATGTGAACTTGTTTTTTTATTTGACGCACTAAAACCAAGACTTTCAATGAAACATATTTCGTCTATTGACCTTTTCAATCATTGATACGTTTAAGCTTACAAACTCTTTGATGATCAAATTTTTAAGAAAATTTCTACTTGGCTGTTTGTTGAAGTTTCTATTGTTTGCTTTAATTGAACTCCCGAGATATCGATTGTTGATTGCGGTTAAGGCGAAGTTGTGTTTACCGTACTTGGGGATTGTTATTATTGTTTTTTGACCCTTGCGCGGTGATTTTACATAGTTTTGGCTAGACTGGGATTTATCTCGATCGCCGGCGCTATCCAGAACCGAAGTTAAATTAATAAAATATAATGAAAAAAAAATATTCATAAATCAGATACTCAAAATTCTAATTGTCAAGTAATTATAATTCGATTCATCGTCTCGTTCTTTATTCGTCTACACAATCAATCTTCGAGTTGTGTTGCCATTGGCGGCTTGRTTGTTTAGTGTTGCCTTTAGCAGTTTAGATGTCAGCTCACTCGTAAGTTATTATTTACTATTTCTTCATTTATTTTCGGTTTGTAATTTCGTGAGCAATGTGTTCAAGCTGTATTTGTATTGTACAGGAATTTACCTGCATTAAAAATAGTGTCTRCGTGTCAAATCGCCTGGCTGATGAACTCTACAGACTATGTCTTTTCTTAGCTATGGTGCTCAACTTCTGCCCGCGCGTGAGCTCCGCTATTATTGAAAATAAAGACTCAACCGTTGGTTTTCATTTTTACCGAGGACGATAAAAAATGACTATCGATTTTCCCGGTATTTAAGAGAGAAGCATTTATCGAAGTTCAAAAATCAAATTAAAAAGAAAAGGATATTATACCTAAGATATTCTTGTACAGTTTGCTTTGATGTGAAGTTCGAGTCGTCCCGGTTCACTTACCGTTCCTTTGCCGCGCTATTAAATCTGATTGCTTGTATGTAGACTATTTGCAGTAAATCAATTGACATTGACAGATAAACTGATTAAAGTTATAATAAGTTCGTCCAACTGAACGAAATCTACCAAAGTCAATATATTCAGAGAACAAAACTCATAAACTTACTTCTTCTATATTACTTTTATATTAACCTTTTTGAGCTAAATATTGTT